TGTAGTCGTTGGCGCGGTATTGTTTTTACAGAGCCGCTCTCCAGCGACGGTAAGGGGGCACACACACATGGGCACAGACTGATGGGAGGGGTTTATGAAGTACGCCATTGAGGTGAGTTCAGGTGCCATGATATACATACCAATTTTTATAAAGACTGTTTTCGGGCATTCAAAGGATGATGTGGGGATGCCCAGACATACAGACAACCTACTTTTACTTTTTCGAAATAAGAGAAGTAGACTAAAAATCAGTGCAAAAACATTGCATATTTTCTCTCATGTACGACTTACCTTGACTGCGTTCTACATTGGAAACGAAATCTATTGTTGTTCGGTAGACAATTGCCAGCCGCTGGTCGTGTAAGCCAGAGCACGTACACTTTGCGTAACATTGGTTCCTTATTTAATTAATTCATATACCCTGAGGGGTCACTGGCTTCCAGTCTCCTTAAACAAATATTTCAGGAACAAATATTGATTGCTTTAAACACGCACAAGAATCATAGTCTTACTATCTGGGTCAGTTGCCAGTATACATGATCAGAATTTAACCAGTATCGGTCATGCTTTTTTCAAGCAAATTGACATTTCGTGCTTTAACAGTCACAGTGCCTTCTCACTTCGCAGAGGCTTATGAGGAAGTTGAAAGTGAAGACCGCCACAAAGCTACGAAACTTTTTCTACTAAACACAGTTGTTGTTTCTATGTTTATTTAAAGGTCACGTTTCAGCTGCTTATGTTATATAGGGTCTGATTCAAAGGCGAGTACGATGGACGAATTGGGAAAGCCTAGAAACAAGCGGTCGTGGCCTGTTTGGGTGATATCCCAGTATTACTTTCTGGAGGGATACTGGAACACCGCCAGGCACCTCAGGTTTCGGTCCTCGAGATTGATAAGAATCATTCCGATTGTTTACACGTACTACACAGGATTTCCAACCTTTGAAACGCGACCTCCCGTTAGATATGTGTGAAACTAACGCCTTGCTGTAAGATTTGAGGTTTTACCGGCGGTGACTATGAAGAAAGCAGTTTTCTGGGATGTGGCACCGTGTAGATGT